AAACAACTAGACAACGATATACTGTATCACTGGCTCAAGAAAGAGCTGAAACTGAAAGAACCGGAAAAGCTGATTTTAAACAATCAAGAAAAGCATGACGTTTCTGTAATGTGGAACAAGAAAGCGGGGATTTGTCATTTGTATGCTAATAGAAATGTCTTTGCAAAACAGTAACCCTCCCAGCACCATCTCTGCTGTTTTGTTTATATAATTATGAGTAGGAGTATATTGGGGTAACCATTCAAAGATGCTGGCCTCTAGTGAAAGCAGGCAGTTTGAGGGAAATTAAACTGATCCACTGATTTTCTTCAAAGAATGGTGCAGTTTCATAAGTAATCAAACTATTCAAGACGACTATTTGAAATCTTTAATTCAACTTCATTCTTGACTGGGAATCATGGCAGCTCAACCCGACAATAGTGGGGGGCTCATTTCCCATTTTTGACTGGACAAAGCCAAGGATCTCTGGCTGTATGGACAAAAGTTCACCAAAGACGGGTAGGTTGAAAATAAATCTGGAAGAGTAGGCAATGCTTCGCAGCTCCTCTTGCCTTACATTTTTAATCCCAATGGCAAAAGAAAGAACCCCAAGATGTTTCAGATCAGATGCAGCGGCTGTGACGTCATTACTCGACTCTCCACCAGTTAACAAAAACAAAATCGGAGGAACCCCTTCCAGATGCCGACTCCCGGAGGAGGCAGTGAAAACATTGTCCCTAACAAACTGAAGAGCTGTCCCAGTGTTGCGGGGTCTTCCTCCGTTATGCCTTAGGCTTCTAACAGCATAGATGACAGCCCTTTTGGTATTGTGAACTTTCAGGTGGGAGTACTCCATAGCATCGTCACTGTATTGCACAACAGCAACTTGAACATTGTCCCCATCGATGTCAATTAATTGTCCATTCTTCGTATAAATATGCCATTTAGCAGATGCTTTTATCCTAAGCGACTTACAGTCATGCGTGCATGACCCATGTGTATGGGTGGTCCCGAGGATCGAACCCACTAACTTGGCATTACAAGCGCCATGCTCTACCAGCTGAGCTACAGAGGACCACAGACAATAGAGTATAAACTCTCTAATGGCAGGCAATCCATTTCTGGAGTCGTCTGAACTGTCAAGGAGATATACTATATCCCTTTTACTGCTCTCTGTATCAACTAGGTGGTGAAGATAGATAAAAATGGGATATATTGACTAACAATTATATTATAGAAAAGGCATGTAAGATGTAACAAAAAACAAACATTTTTAGGAATGTTTGAAGCTGAATCTGAACACAAGACATATCAGAGGGAAAATACCACTGAGAAGAAATTACAGCAAAATTACAGTTGTGGTTATTTGTCTGTATCAATACACATTTGCATGCATATCTGCAAGGGTGAATGAGAATCTGGAATAGTGTATGCAGGTTTTGGGAGCACTAAACTACTGTTCTGAAAGGTATCATCACAAGCAGAACAACAAAGAACCATCTTTTCAACAAAAATATGTCAAGTTTGGCATAGTTTCTCCATACATGGTTGAGGTAAGCGATAAAGAGAGAGAACAGAGTGAAATAGGAGGAAATGTTTTTGGTTTAAGAGAATAAAAAGCCAATAAATACTCTGAATAAGACATTTTAAAATACTATTTTCTCAATCATGCAACTAAATACTAGCACCTTTCTACCAAAATGCATAACATGTATCAACATAGCAGGAAATGCTCTACTGAGACTACGTTTACCAAAGGCTTAGGTATCCATGAATTTATCATGCTTCAATTTCAGCATTGTTCCAAAGATAAAGAATATGGTATGTTTCTTGTATTTAGCATACTCATATCCAAGCTGAAGTTCTTACCTTCTAAATCAGGAATTTCAGGAGTCACAGGAGCTACTGATTCATCTGTGTCTTTCGACAGGCTTTTAAGCATAGCAACAAGCTGTGGCTGGATTGAGGGCAGCTCAGAGAACTCAGTGACCTGGTATGTGAAACCAGGTTGGAAGGAAATCATTTCCAACTCCCGGACATTGGCGTCCCCAACTCCGACCCCCATTGACACAATTTCCAGATCTTTAAGAGCTACAGCAGGGCCCTTAACATCATCTCTGGATTTCTTGCTAGTCAAAAGAATCAGGATCTGGGGCACACCTTCCAGTCGTCTACTGCCAGAGGAGGCAGTAAAGACACGGTGTCTTACAAACTGGAGAGCTGCCCCAGTGTTTAGGCTCCTTCCACCCTTGTGCCTCATATTACTTACGGCATTAATAATGGCATCCTTTGTTTTGTGAGAGTTCAGATAGAAATGGGCCTCTGGTTTGTCAGCATACTGAACCACAGAGACTCTGTCTCTGTTCTCCTCCAGAGACAGTTTATCCACTATACTTTGAACAAAGTCTCGCACTGCTGGGAATCCACTCCTTGTGCCATCAGAACCATCCAGCAGGAATACAATATCTCTTTTCACAGCATCAGTATGAACTGAGATAGCATTAGCATGAACCGAAGCTGAGACACAACAAACAAGGCACGTTTAGAAGAAACAAATATCACAGCACAAAGAGCATCAACACAGAACATGATAATTTTTTTTTTTTTTTCTTACCTTGCTCCAGAATGACCTTCAGCTGTTCCTTGGGAAGGCTCACATAGCTATTAAGCCTTTGTTGGACCGTATTGAGCTGGCTGAATTCCTTCACGTTGAAAGCAAAGGATGGGTTGTGAGAAATGTCCTCAATTTGCTTAGGGTCTGCATCCTTGACACCAACGCCAAACGGTACCACTCCATCTGTCTTTAAAGCGCCAGCAGATTCCTTCACGTTATCCTTTGACTTGCCTCCGGTCAAAACGATCAAAAACTGGGGGACATTTTGGGCCGCACGGCTACCATGAACCGGGGACAGGATAGTGTCCTTCATGAATTTCAAGGCCATTCCGGTGTTTAGACTCCTTCCACCGGCCAGTCTCAGATCATTAACGGCCCTTAACACTTCAGCCTTATCCTTATATGTATTCAGGTAGAAATTGGGAGCTGGCCTCTCACTATGTTGGACAACTGAAACGCGTACTCTATCTTGTCCAATATCAAGAGGCTCAATGACTTTGATGATAAAGTCCCGGATGTAGGGGAAATCTGTTCGGACATTATCAGAGCCGTCAATCAGGAATGCAACATCCCTCTCACCTCCAATGACTGCTGTAAGAAAAGAGGAAAGGGAACAAGACCTTCAGTTTTGTCAGTCAATAGCATTATTATGCAGTTTGTTCTATATCTTTCATACCATTTTACATGTTTAAATATTTAATATCCACTGTTAAATCCAAAATGTACTAATAAAGCTAAAATACAAGATAAAGCTCACCAGCTTCCTCGGTTATTTCGATGTCTGTTACTGAGATGTCTGTGTCACCGACCACAGTAATCAAAGGAGTCATGATCTGTTCAACAACATTTGGCAGGCTAGAAAAACTGCTTTCATGGTAAGCCAAGTTTGGGACAAAAGCGACCGTCTTCAAGTAGTCCTCATCTGCCTGGCCGGCACTGACTGTGAAGGTCAATACACCCGCCATGGCCACTTTGTCTGCTATCTTTTTAAACTCTTCCTGGGATGGGCCTCCAGTGATCAGGAGAAGCACCTGTTGGACACCCTGCCTCTTACGTGACCCAGTCGAGGCCTGGAACATGTTGGTAAGGGCATAATCCATAGCCACTCCTGTGTTCAAAGTAGACCCTCCCATTAGCCTGAGCTGACCAATGCTGGTCAGCACATCATGCTTTGTGTTGTGTGTGTTCAGGTAGAATTCGATCTTTGGGTTTTCTGCAAACTGCATGAGGCCAATGCGCACCCTGTCGGGCCGCACGTCCAGCCTGTTTACCACGCCGACAATGAAATCTCGCACATATGGAAGATTGGCACCCCCAATGTATCTAGAGCCATCCACCATAAAGACGATGTCTCTGACTACTCGCTGGGTCTGCACTGTTGAAATTTCAACCACTGGGGAAAAAACGGTAAAAAAAAACAATTATTACACCTATTCTAATATTCAAGTTGCAAATATTAGATGTCAATGATTTTGAATAAAGCCCTAGGTGAGGGGAGTTCCTAACTAATCAGTGACCTTAATTGATCAATCAAGTACAATGGAGGAGTGAAAAACTGCGTACTCTCTGCCCTCCACCGAATGAGTTTGACACCTGTGCCTTTTGGGGTCTTGGGGTAAGAAAATGCCACCTTACATGTGAGGTATACATTTTATATAAGTAGCTAGTATGAATCATAGTAACGATAGGAGAGGAGCATTACCTGGCTCTGTGGGTACCTCAGTCACCACAATCCCAGATAGAGTGGAGAGGGGAGAGACAATCACCGTGGGGTTGCGAAGCAATATGCGGAAATCCTTCAGCATGAACACCAAACTCTCATCAAAGGCAATCTGCTTCAGCTCCTGCTCATCGGCAGCCTTAGAGCCGGCAGCCAGGGTCATAACCCCCATGCGCTGCAGTGCCTCAGCAGCCTGCCCCACACTGTCACTGGACTTTTTACTGGTCATCAACAGCACCAGCTGGGGCACACCTTGCTGAATACGACTCCCCTTGTCAGCCCTCAGCATGTTGGTCCTCACAAAGTCCAGGGCCACCCCGATGTTCACCGCTTGTCCCGGTCTTGGCTTGAGTCTTCCCAGAGCCGCACTCAGGTCCTCCTTGGATCCATATGCGTTCAGGTCTATCTCAAGCCTGGCAGCGTTGCTGAACTGGGCCACACCTACTTGCACTTGGTCCGGTCCGATCGGCATGGTGTCAACAAACCTTTTGATAAACTCACGAAGAGAGTTGATCATTGTGGCGCCCATAGTGCTGTCAATGAGAAAAATGATGTCCCTTTTTCCCACTTCCAAGGCTGAAAGAGAAAATAAAATGACACATGTTAGAGAAAGCTATGATAAAAGCTAACTATTATTAGCTAATTAAAGCTAATAAAGCTGTGATACTCACTTAATGGTAGCCTAAGTACAGATGCAATTAATTAATTAATGCCATAGTTAACATGAATGAATGCATTCACAAAGCATGCCATGTTTAAGAAAGGCACAAAAAAATGGCTTATTAGGATTCATGTTAATAAAGGTGTGTCATGTGGTCCTCTGTAGCTCAGCTGGTAGAGCACGGCGCTTGTAATGCCAGGGTAGTGGGTTCGATCCCCGGGACCACCCATACGTAAAAATGTATGCACACATGACTTTAAGTCGCTTTGGATAAAAGCGTCTGCTAAATGACATATTATTATTAACATCTGGAGAAGTATGAATTGCTGCAAATTGTGCAAATATAGAGAATGGTGTGATTTTGGAGGTGTTCTAGATGCATTTTATGTTATGCTACCAGTGGTGTAAAGTACTTAAGTAAAACTACTTTAAAGTACTGCTTAAGTCGTTTTTTTTGGTATCTGTACTTTACTATTTATATTTTGTTCAACTTTTACTTCAATACAGTCCTATAGAAAATAATTTACTTTTTACGCCATACACTTTTCTTGACACCCAAAAGTACTCGTCACATTTTGAATGCTTAGCAGGACAGGAAAGTTGTACAATTCACTCACTTACCAAAATAAAATCCCTGGCCATCCCTACTGCCTCTGATCCGGTGGACTCACTAAACACAAATGCTTTGTTTGTAAATTATGTCTGAGTGTTGGGGTGTGCCTCTGGCTATCCGTAAATTAAAAAACAAGAAAATTGTGCTGTCTGGCATGCTTATCACAAGTAATTTGAAATTATTTATACTTTTACTTTTGAAACTTAAGTATATTTTAGCAATTACATTTACTTTTGATACTTAAGTATATTTAAAACCTAAATGTTTTAGACTTTTAGTCAAGTAGTATTTTACTGGGTGATTCACATTTATTTGAGTCATTTTCTATTAAGGTATCTTTACTTTTACTCAAGTATGACAATTGGGTACTTTTTCCACCACTGTGTGCTACTTGTTTAGGAGAAGAGGGTAACTGTGTAATACTAATACAATTACATGTTCCTTCTTCACAGGAAGAGATGAAAAGATTAGCCGTAGATCTGTACTTTCTCAAAAGTATTTTAATGTTGACTGTACTATACTGACTCTGTTTTACAAATCTTTAATTGAGAGCATTTACATGTTTTGAATAATGTTTGTTGGTTTGGCAATGCCACTCTCAGACAAAATAATATGCTGAGAAGGATTATCACCACAGCAAGCAAGGTACCTGGAGTCAAACAGACAGGCTTGGATGAGATCTTTAAGGTCAGGGTCCCCATCAAGGCTCACAAAATCATTTTAGACCCATCTCACCCCCTGTACCTGGACTTTGAACTACTCCCCTCTGGGTGCAGGTATAGGGCACCCCCCAGCAGGAAAAACTGAACTAGACAATCATTTTTGCCAGGTGTGATATCCCTCTTAAGTGCTCGGGCTAATGTTCCTATCCACTCAGAAAGGCCATCAGGCTAGTCTCTTTCATTGGTATACAGTATACTGTATGTAACTGTTATGAATTTTGTATTGTCAATTTGTTGTCTACTGTATTTAAACGCCACTTTAAACATGTACATGATACTGCAACAACATTTCCCCATGGGGACAATAAAGTCAGTAAAGTAAATTAAAGATCTAGTTAACCGTATATGCGAACATCTACATCGAAGTGAGACAGCAAGCTTACCTAACCAGCTAACTAAACTATACCAAACCTACTTTATCATGTTGCTTTTTTGTAGGTCAGCTAGTTTAATTACACATGATCTAAATAGCCAATTGTCTAAACTACAGTATTTCAGTATTCAGTTAAAACTATGTTTTGTAATGCTTGTGCACTTGTTAGATCTGTTATTTATTGTCAATCTGGCTTAAGTTAGAAATCAAGTCAAGATGCTAACCTGTCTGTCTTTTGTCATAACTTTCATTATGATGCATTGGCCTATTTGTGAAATGTTATCTACCGCTATTTCAATATAATATTAGATTGATATATTAGATTGAGATAAATATGGAGTGTACCCTTTCCCGAATTTCAAGCACCTGCTGTCTCACAATTAGATATGTAAGGCAGCCCCCGAAATTACTCTTCTTATCAACAGTCTATGCAAAAGGTTTGATTGTCTTCTCAGGAATTCAGCCTTCTTTGTGTTGATCTCACCAACCCCCATTGTCTCACCCCTGAGAAGCAGAGGTTACATTCTGTAGGTCTGATATCTGACTGGAGGTTAACTTTACAGTAATTCTATTGGTCAACAACTCAGCTTTTGAATCCAAACAACTCAGATGCTTATTAAAGGGTCTTTGATTCATTGTTCTTTCTCTTATGTTCCTGACCTGCTGGGGTGAGATTTTCTTTTCTTTCTTTCTTTCTTTCTTTCTTTCTTTCTTTCTTTCTTTCTTTCTTTCTTTCTTTCTTTCTTTCTTTCTTTCTTTCTTTCTTTCTTTCTTTCTTTCTTTCTTTCTTTCTTTCTTTCTTTCTTTCTTTCTTTCTTTCTTTCTTTCTTTGTAATACTTGTTAATGCTTTGTAAAGCTGGGCCCGAGAGTCTGATAAACAGTCATCACTAGCTGGCCTCCGCCCAGTACCCTGCCCTGAACATTAGACACTGTCAATAGCTACCACCCGGTACTCTACCCTGCATCTTAGAGACTGCTGCCCTATGTACATAGTCATTGAACACTGGTCACTTTAATAATGTTGAAATACTGTTTTACCCACTTTATATGTATATACTTAAATATACTATTCTAGTCATGGCTCATTCTATAAAGCTACTGCTGTACACACCTTTTCTATGCATATACTGTCCATATTTATATTCTGGACTCTGACATTGCTCGTTCTGATATTCTTTTAACTTTTAACTTTTGGATTATGTGTGTATTGTTATTGTATTGTTAGATATTGCTTCACTGTTGGAGCTAGAAACATAAGCATTTTGCTGCACCTGCGATAACATCTGCAAATCTGTGTACACATCCAATAAACTTTGATTTGATTTCAAGTGTTGGCGACTTATTATTCTTACAGTACCTAAAGTATGGAATCAGCTATAAGACACACAAAATAAAGATGTTCCATGAACCCCGAACCCACTCCCACCTTGCATGGAAGTTACCTACCTTCTGTGAATTCATTCTGAATGACAATGGTGCGCTGGGCCACCCCGTTAATGTATGGTAGCAACTGGTCACCCATGCTTGCCACTGCTCTGAAATCAGGGGCCGACAGAACAAAGCTCTTGTCTGTGGCGATAGTCTCCAGCTCGGCGGTGGCCGCGCTGCCGACTACTACACCAAACGTGATAACGCTTGCTGCCTTAAGGGCCCTGTCACCCGCACTGAAATCGTCATTGGACGGTCCAGCACTGATAACCACCAGAGCTTGGGGCACCCCCTCCTCTGCCCTGCCCCCTGATGCCGGACTCAACAGGCTCTCAGCGACTTTCTCCAAGGCGGCTCCAAGGTTAGCCTCATCGCTGCCTATGAACTGAATGGCCTTCACTGCATCCAGGACAGCGGCTTTGTTCTCATGGGTATTTAGAAAGAACTGAACCTCGGGGTCCGCGCTGTACAGAGCCACGGCCACCCGAATTGTGTCCCTGCCCACATCAAGGCCCTCAATGACTTTCATAGCCAAATCACGCACACGGGGGAAGTTGGCCGCTCCAACATTCTCAGATCCGTCAATTAAGAGTACAAGGTCAGCTGACTCTTGTGCTTAAAAGGGAGAGAGAGAGAGAAAACAGAAAGAATGCAACGTGAAAGTGTTAAAACAGAGAAAGGAGAAAGATAACGTGCTGGTACATCATTGAAGGTAACATTCATGGTGAACACAATCAATCATTAAAAAAACATCACAAAAACACATTATACTGCATGTAGGCTGAACCAAGGAGTGATTACATGTTGACCTTAAGTGATAATGGATGCAAATTAGTCTGAGCATGACCCTGTAGCTTGCTATATAATACTCCATTAATGTAAAATACATTTGGGCAGTGCGACATCAACAGAACATTACGGAATAGTGTTGAAGCACTGTACTCATTATATACTCATAATACTCATATACTCATAATTTCATAATACTGTTAAAATGTTTTTTTCATATCAAACACAATGAATAATATGGATTGTAAAATGTCAGTTTCTCCTTTTTATCTGTCTTATATCAGCTTGGGTTCTATGATAATGCACCAAAAATAAACTCCTTCAACACCATTGAGTTCAGCTACCCCATGCAGACTCATGTTACAGACCTCAGAGATATTGGGTACCAGTCATGACCCTGTGGCCCATCCTTGATGCTTAAGAGCCTCTACCATTAATCAAGAGAATAAATAACTATTCTATAACATTTTATTGTACATTGTGCTAAGCTGTTATCTTTTACTTGCTAATGTTGATATTACACTACATTTGCACTGTCAATATTATACTAGATAAAACTAGAAATCTCTCTATCTAGGCTCTGCTGCAAGTCAAGGATGAGTCCAGGCAGGTTCATCACTGTTTCAGTTGTAGAATATTATGCACATATTTTACACAGTTATGAAGACAGTAACTGATAAAACATAGCCTAAACACACAAAACATAAACAAGACGCACAAGCAGTGGGTGGGTGGTTAGCCATCGTCAAAAGCTGCTCTCCGTGTTTCGGGAGGCCGTTCTGGAGAGACCATTTGTCACCTCTATTCATTCGCTTTTTCAAAGATCTAACCCATAAGGGGTTAATATATGGAGATTTGTTGTCAATGAGACAAAAGCAGAAAAAGTGATTTTTGTAGAGCAAAGATCATGGACTGGAGGTGTTTTAAATATATATGTGTATTAGATGATAGAGAGAAAAAGAGAGAGAGCGACAAAGAAAGAGATTATTGAAGTCAATATCCTGTTACTGTGTCATGTAAATAGATTATTATCCACCTGTAACAGTCTGCCATGAATGTTGAATTGTTTGAAGCTCCTGCTTGTAATTATTACAGAGTCAATGTTGTTGTCAGCAACTAAAATGGCAAACTAATGGTGATTTGTCTTTACCATTTAAAAAAAGCACTGGATATATCCAAATGACTGAGATGGCCTGTTCTCAGTTCATGCATAAGCTTTATAAATTAGTTGATCTGGCTTGTAAGAGGTATAGCAGCCATCAGTGCCATCAAAAGCCTTCTTCTGAAAATCATTAGGAGTGTCAATTCCATTCAAATCTGGGTGGTGATCTTAAAGTGTTACGTGCAAATTAAATGTGATGAGAAACAGTGATGTTAATAGGTGCCAGACGGTGGAATGAGGGTTATCGTGTTAAATACCCCTTGATCGTGTTAATACAGGACTCCATCCAGACATGGCCACACATTCGCAGCTACTTTCTTATTTTATGATAATGTAGGCATTAGTTTGGTAGTGACACAAGCCCCCTTTTGTTACCCGTCACATCTCGAGGCAATCCTTTGACTTCGACAGCCACGGGGGCACCCCCGGCCTGGGTCACTGTGCCGCACAAGCCCACCACTAAGTCCTGGATTACCCCCCCCAGGGCCAGGAAAGAGTCTACGCTGAACTCTTGTGTGTCCTGCAGCGTGCTAGCCATCTCCCTGAGCTCCCAGTTCACCGTGTCCTGCACCCCCGCCGCAAACACCTTCACACCAGCCAGCCACAGCACCTGCATCTTGGGAGTGCCCGTCTGTCAGGACCACCACCGCCTGGGCCACGCCCTCGCCAGCACGGCTGCCCGCCGCCACATTCAGGTGGGGCTGGTTGAGGAAGTCCAGGGCCAGGCCTATGCGGGTTCCACCTCCCCGGTAGGCCATGGCACGGATGTGGGCCAGGGCCCCCAGCGGAGATGGGTACGTGATCAGCTGGAACTCGGTTTTGGGCAAGCCACTGTACTGGATGAGGGTAAACCGCCACCCTCGTTCAGAGCTTTAACCACACTTTACCCATGCTCTAGGACGAATCCAGTAGAAAGTATATGACGGGGGCCAGCTCTTGTGCACAATCTTCAAAGGAGGAAACCCGGTTTTGAGGACTCACCGAGCCGTGACAGAGGCCAAGTCCAGTGGTATGACTGCAATCATGACCCTGTTAATGTACCAATCAACAATACCGCCGAAAAATAGGCCTATAAACTGGTGTTAAAATATTAAGACAGTACACCTTAGCTCACCTCACCTGCCAAAAGGCTATCAGAAATTAGGCTGAACTTCGATGCCAGGACTCCAAAACATGACACTGGACTTGCACTCTAAGGCTTCAGTGATTTCTGAGTAGACCTCATGTTGAGCTTTTCTCATTCACACCATTAAAATCCCTTTGATTTCCTGCAGGGAACTAGACAACTTTGTCTTTGTACCCAAATGTTTCTTGTTTCAAGAAAGGGGGAACCTCAACCCATACATGTCAATACAACTCCATCTTAACAGCAGTGCTCAGAAATATCAGCATTGTCATTCCTAATTTTTTGTTAAATGTCTAACATTTTGGCCAATTGACTCATTTGTGCTGAAAATAACAAGGATCATCCTCAGCAGCACTTGCACAGATCCACCGATTTATCCACAACCTGAATAGTCACAGTTACAACTGAGGTCTTCCAGGTGCTACTAAGATCAATGGATATGTGAAGTGATAGGGGCCTAAGACAGGGCATCACAAGGGCCTGCAAGTTGAACTGAGAAAATAAAAGCAGATTCAAACTTACCTTCCTCTTGAGCATCAAGTTTGGGCAGCAGTCCTGCAAACAGTACGCCCAGAAGAGCGCACAGCGGTAACAACCGGTGTTTCCTCATCTTTTACCCAGCACCAAAAATAACACCTGCAAATGAAATAGAACAGGAAGTGTCATGGAAGGTTGATGTTCTTTTCAGCATCACAGCAGGTAACAGTCTCCATGGCAGGTATAATTCTGCAACAACAACAAAATGACATCACAGAGGTAAAGCAAGGGAAGACTTGAATGTTGCATTTTTGTGAAGTAGTCCTAAATGTGTCAGTTTCCCTTTAACATTTCCATTATCAAGGCTTTATAATCTGAGTATTAATTAATCAATTACAGTACAACATAATCATCCATCAACATCGTAAAATGAGCATATATTTCAAAATGGAAGAACTTATAAGACTGAGTTATTGTCATTCGGACAGGGAAATTATGAAGCTCTGTGAATACCTAGCCGAACCCTAAATTAAGTTGTTTCCTTTGTTTCTGGGATAGACCACTCACAAACTCTGACACGCACATACAGTATCATCCCAAATCAGTTTGACAAAAAAATGAAGGCCTGTCTGCACTGTCCTACCCATATGAACTTTGGGGAGATTAACTCGGGGCAACTGAAGCAAACTCAGTATATAGTAATATTTCAGATGACATCCATGTCAACATCTTACGGATTTCTGGAGTTGCTCCATATTTCTGTTTTCCTCCTTGTTTTCCTCCCTTTCCCACAGTCATCACATGGTGAAAGCAAATTCCTAATGTCAACAGCATGTTTACCAGCAAATGCCTCCAGTTCAGGGTTCAAAACAACAGCCACATTCCGGTTAGCTTATGTCTTTCTCAAAGTGCTATCATTGGTGGCTCATTTCTGTCTGTCCAAATAAGTAGCAGCATAGGTGAAATTGAGCTCGAACTGGAGCTAGAACTTGGACTTGCAGAGCCTAATGGCATGATCAACACCACCTGTTCAAACAGCCAGTCTACATGAGTAATTATCTACTGTTGTCGAGGAGCATATATTCCATCTTCTAAAAGTTGTGTTCTTAGGAAGGGTGTTGGACTGGAAAGTTCAGTTTCACAGTGGGGTTTGTGATTTACATTTACATTTAAGTCATTTAGCAGACGCTCTTATCCAGAGCGACTTACAAATTGGTGCACTCAACTTAGGATAGCCAGTGGGACAACCAACACTGGGGGAGGGGGGGGGGGGGGGTGAAGAAGGATTACTGTTATACTATCCCAGGTATTCCTTAAAGAGGTAGGGTTTCAAATGTCTCCAGAAGGTGGTCAGTGACTCCGCTGTCCTGGCGTTGTGGGGGAGCTTGTTCCACCATTGGGGTGCCAGAGCAGCGAATAGCTTTGACTGGGCTGAGCGGGAACTGTGCTTCCGTAGAGGTAGGGGGGCTAGCAGGCCAGAGGTGGATGAACGTAGTGCCCTCTTTTGGGTGTAGGGTCTGATCAGAGCCTGAAGGTAAGGAGGTGCCGTTCCCCTCCGTACGCTGCTGACCAAGCCGAAATTCACAGTCTCAAACAAGTCACACACACACACACACACACCAGTGCAGCATCACTGCCACAGGGTTCAATTCTCGGGCCGACTCTATTCTCTGTGTATATCAATGATGTCGCTCTTGCTGCTGGTGACTCTCAGATCCACCTCTATGCAGACGACACCATTTTGTATACATCTGGCCCTTCATTGGACACTGTGTTAACAAACCTCCAAACGAGCTTCAATGCCATACAACACTCCTTCCGTGGCCTACAACTGCTCTTAAACGCTAGTAAAACTAAATGCATGCTCTTCAATCGAACGCTGCTTGCACCTGCCCGACTAGAATCACTACTCTCGACGGGTCTGACTTAGAATATTTGGACAACTACAAATACCTAGGTGTCTGGTTAGACCCTAAACTCTCCTTCCAGACTCACATTAAGCATCTCCAATCCAAAGTTAAATCTAGAATCGGCTTCCTATTTCGCAACAAAGCCTCCTTCACTCATGCTGCTAAACATGCCCTCGTAAAACTGACTATCCTACCGATCCTTGACTTCGGCGATGTAATTTACAAAATAGCTTCCAACACTCTACTCAGCAAATTGGATGTAGTCTATCACAGTGCCATCCGTTTTGTCACCAAAGCCCCATATACTACCCACCATTGTGACCTGTACGTTCTCGTTGGCTGGCCCTCACTACATATCCGTCGCCAAACCCACTGGCTCCAGGTCATCTATAAATCACTTCTAGGCAAATCCCCGGCTTATCTTAGATCATTGGTCACCATAGCAACACCCACCCGTAGTATGCGTTCCAGCAGGTATATCTCACTGGTCATCCCCAAAGCCAACACCTCCTTTGGCCGCCATTCCTTCCAGTTCTCTGCTGCAAATGATTGGAATGAACTGCAAAAATCTCTGAAGCTCGAGACACTTACCTCCCTCACTAACTTTAAGCATCAGTCGTCAGAGCAGCTTACCGATCACTGCACCTGTACACAGCCCACCTGTAATTAGCCCACTCAACTACCTCATCCCCATATTGTTATTTACATTGTTTTTATTTTGCTCATTTGCACCCCAGTACAGTGAGGGAAAAAAGTATTTGATCCCCTGCTGATTTTGTACGTTTGCCCACTGACAAAGAAATGATCAGTCTATAATTGTAATGGTAGGTTTATTTGAACAGTGAGAGACAGAATAACAACAACAAAAAATCCAGAAAAACGCATGTAAATTTTTTTATTAATTGATTTGCATTTTAATTAGGGAAATAAGTATTTGACCCCTCTGCAAAACATGACTTAGTACTTGGTGGCTAAACCCTTGTTGGCAATCACAGAGGTCAGACGTTTCTTGTAGATGGCCACCAGGTTTGCACACATCTCAGGAGGGATTTTGTCCCACTCCTCTTTGCAGATCTTCTCCAAGTCATTAAGGTTTCGAGGCTGACGTTTGGCAACTCAAACCTTCAGCTCCCTCCACAGATTTTCTGTAGGATTAAGGTCTGGAGACTGGCTCGGCCACTCCAGGACCTTAATGTCCTTCTTCTTGAGCCACTCCTTTCTTGCCTTGGCCGTGTGTTTTGGGTTATTGTCATGCTGGAATACCCATCCACAACCCATTTTCAATGCCCTGGCTGAGGGAAGGAGGTTCTCACCCAAGATTTGACGGTACATGGCCCCGTCCATCGTCCCTTTGATGCGGTGAAGTTGTCCTGTCTCCTTTGCAGAAAAACACCCCCAAAGCATAATGTTTCCACCTCCATGTTTGATGGTGGGAATGGTGTTAAATAAATAAATAAATCATTTAGCAGACACTCTTATCCAGAGCGACTTACAGGAGCAATTAGGGTTAAGTGCCTTGCTCAAGGGCACATCAACAGATTTTTCACCTAGTCGGCTCTGGGATTAGAACCAGCGACCTTTCGGTCACTGGCACAACGCTCTTAACCACTAAGCTACCTGCCGTGTTCTTGGGGTCAGCATTCCTCCTCCTCCAAACACGGCGAGTTGAGTTGATGCCAAAGAGCTACCATTTTGGTCTCATCTGACCACAACACTTTCACCCAGTTCTCCTCTGAATCATTCAGATGTTCATTGGCAAACTTCAGACGGGCATGTATATGTGCTTTCTTGAGCAGGGGGACCTTGCGGGCACTGCAGGATTTCAGTCCTTCACGGCGTAGTGTGTTGCCAATTGTTTTCTTGGTGACTATGGTCCCAGCTGCCTTGAGATTATTGACAAGATCCTGCTGTGTAGTTCTGGGCTGATTCCTCACCGTTCTCATGATCATTGCAACTCCACGAGGTGAGATCTTGCATGGAGCCCCAGGCCGAAGGAGATTGACAGTTATTTTGTGTTTCTTCCATTTGCGAATAATCGCACCAACTGTTGTCACCTTCTCACCAAGCTGCTTGGCGATGGTCTTGTAGCCCATTCCAGCCTTGTGTAGGTCTACAATCTTGTCCCTGACATCCTTGGAGAGCTCTTTGGTCTTGGCGATGGCGGAGAGTTTGGTATCTGATTGATTGATTGCTTCTGTGGACAGGTGTCTTTTATACAGGTAACAATCTGAGATTATGAGCACTCCCTTTAAGAGTGTGCTCCTAATCTCAGCTCGTTACCTGTATAAAAGACACCTGGGAGCCAGAAATCTTTCTGATTGAGAGGGGGTCAAATACTTATTTCCCTCATTAAAATGCAAATCAATTTATAACATTTTTGACATGCGTTTTTCTTGATTTTTTTGTAGTTATTCTGTCTCTCACTGTTCAAATAAACCTACCATTAAAATTATAGACTGATCATTTCTTTGTCAGTGGGCAAACGTACAAAATCAACAGGGGATCAAATACTTTTTTCCCTCACTGTATCTCTATTTGCACATTATCTTCTGCACATCTATCACTCCAGTGTTAATTCTAAATTGTAATTATTTTGCACTATGGCCTATTTATTGCCTTACCTCCATAACTTACCTCATTTGCACACACTGTATATAGATTTCCTATAGTGTTATTGACTGTACGTTTTGTTTTTGTTTATTCCATATGTAACTCTGTGTTGTTGTTGTTTTTATTGCACTGCTTTGCTTTATCTTGGCCAGATCGCAGTTGTAAATGAGAACTTGTTATCAACTGGCTTTTTTGGTTAAATAAAGGTGAAACAAACCAAAAAAAAATCCTCATAAAGCAGTGGGTAACTTGCCAGAGCACCTCCCCGTTAGGGTCCCATTTTAGCACCATTCATACAGAGCTCCTGTTGTAGACCCATTCATGTCCACTGAGTTCAAAATTAATTGTATACCTGTATAAATATTGTATGGTGGGAAACCTTAGCGCACCCAAGAGTTATTCTAAACTCTGGAATTTCTGTTGATAATGTCAACGGTCATGCTGCGGACATTTCTGTGCAGAAAGAGCTAAATACAGCACCATGTGCTGACTTTGCTGTTTTCTGCGTGATACAACGCCCAACCTCAGCTCCCTTTCACTGTAAAATCCCACCATAAACCCATATTTACAATTCCAACTGACAACTGAGCTGTTCTGCAATTAGGAATTTTCT